TTAAAAGTCCTAGCCCACTTTTAAGGTAGAGCTAGGGTGAGCCATTTGTGATTCTTCCATGAATGCTCGAGATCTTCACAAAAAGCTAGAATCACAGCACGAACAAATCAAGCTCTACGAGAAGAAACTCAAAGGCAAGTTTCAGAAATAATTGTTTTCATGATTTTTGCTTATTCATGTCATGACCATGTTAGGCGCTATCGCAATATACGGGGGCATCCTCTAGGACTAAGCCTAGGAGGGGCAGGAGCTCGGGAAAATGAAAATGGCTCACGCACCTTGGAGTCTCTCCTCCCCGCCTAAGGCTTAGTCCCGTTTTTAACAAAAAAGGACATGTTTTACGCGTTTCAAATGCACTGCCACCACAATGCCCCCGTATATTGCGATAGCGTCCCGTGGTTATTTTATTAAAGTGAAATTTTTCTTCTTCTTATGGACATCCTTCCAGATGTTGTGCGAGCCTATAAAAGCCTTGAGACCGAGAAAACTGCTTTACAAAATGCGTTGAATTCCTTGTCTCCGGAAGGTGCTGGTGATCAACAGCTCGTTTCTGCGACTGACGATGTATGGTGATTTACTGGATAGTTTACTAATACTGCTTTGATTGCACAGTAAAGATTTCCAGTAATTCGGTTCTTTTCCAGACAACAGTTGAAAGTCTCAAGGCTGCTATAGCCACACTTACTCGAGAAAACTCGAAAAAAGAGGCAGCATTTCAGAATGATAAGAAGACGTTACTAGTAAGCGAATTAAGCGTTTATCTTATTGACTGCGATCTGTGTACATTCATATCTTTCGCTTTTAGAATGAGAACGCTACCCTCAAAGATCAGCTCAAAAAGGCGAACGATAGCTTGGCCAGTGCAGAAAAGAATCTCAAGGTAATTCTTTTTTATCTTGATTTTTCTACCGCTACTTAATTTTCTTTATATTTAATATTTGTTCGTGTGTTGCGTTGTCGTGGTTTTCAAATCACCCTACCATAAGCGATCTTGGTTGAGTTGCGTTTTGTCTCACGCATCTAAGTGGGTTGGAAGTGCCGAGTCATACTTTGCGATTTTGCGCCTTTTCGTGGAGTAGATAAGTATCGATCATACACGCGATCGCGCGAGCGTAGAATCGCATTGTCGATACGAATTTACTCTCTATTCAAACTGCAAAAGCATGACCCTTAGCAGTACAGACGTGGCGTCAGAAAATCAATATAATATCGATTGAATCGCTATTGTCGCTAAGTATATCACTTATCTGCCAAATGCAGTAGCACACGCATAGGCAACATCAAAATGTCGAAGATCACGGATGGTTTTGCTGTTGATTATCTGGTTCCACGTCCTTGTTTGCTGAGTCTGCATTTACTGCTCATGTGGTTGCGGGAGACAAAGTGTATTAGCTTCATCAGCAGAGTCAACCCTGCGTTGCGCAGTTTCCCGATTAGACACGTTCTCTCGCGCGAACATTCACACTCGCATGCTCGAGCCGTCTGCGTCTCCGCCCATACAGCGTGCGTTGAGGATCTCTCAACGTGCCGTTGCGAACTGCGCAACGCAGGGTTGACTCTGGTCCCAAGGTGGATTTGAGACTTGCTGTGGTTGTAGTAGTGTGTCGCTCCCTTTCTCGCTTTTCTGGTGCAGTTCACGGGGCGCTATCGCAAGATGTGGGGGCATTATGATGGTACTACGCTTGAAACCGCGGGAAAACATCTATTTTTTGTTAAAATCGAAACCAAACCTAAGGCGGGGCACGAGCGGCTCCAGGGTACGCTAGCAATTTTCGTTTTCTCCGCAGTTCCTGCCCCTGCTGGGTCAGTCTGAGAAGATGCCCCGTATCTTGCGATAATGCCCTTACTGTTTGGATTGAGTGCCATAGACAACATCAGAGTTGTTTCTCTAATTAGTGTTAGAACACTACTTTTCGGCATGAGCCAAGGTGTTCCAGCAGACTCGAGCGCGTAATGGTCAACTGTCGTCTAGTTTTTATCTCAGTTACAACGATTAGCGCAATTTCACTTTGGAATTCTATTTTCAAAAAGCCAAGAGAGAGCGTTTCACAATGTTCCAGTTCAATCTAAGCGTGACCTAAGCTGTACCTTTGCCTTACTTCCCATTTGTGCATTCATGATGGCTTTATTTTGCCTTCGCTCGCGATTCTGCGTTCACTTAATACATACAGTAGTCTTTTATATTTTTCCGGACTTTCTTGACTGTGAGCGTCAACCGTTGCATCAAATTTCATAGCTAACTGAATTGTTGCTGTTCATCAGCGCTAATGTACTAAATAAATAGATCGGTCGTAGTAAGTACAAAATTATCGGTCAGAGTCATGACGTTCACGGGGAACTGGAGTTATCTTGGTTCCAATGTTTACTATGTGTAGGGAATTCGAACACAGGATTGTAATGGGTCGAAGGTCCTCAGCGCAAGCTCGTACATGTCTTGATGGGAGAGGAGTAACCAAAAATGCATTCAAAGGGCGTATTTCCAGGGAATTCGGAAAATCCTTTTTTTGTGAATTTCCTCGGTTCCGTGGCGTACTCTGTCGGAGAAAGGGTGGATTATGCATTCGATTCGTTGCAAGAAAGCTCAAGGATTCCGCTGTAGTATTTGGTGGGGGGAACGCAAAGGAACCGGTCTTAGGGGCTTTCAGCAGGAGAGAATATTTTCAGCGTTTTTCTGACCATGATCACCACGCGCTGTTTGCTTTAACGCCATGTCCCATGTCAGCTATGGAGGGCCTCATTCAAACCGTCACAGACTCAATACCTTTGACGAAAAAAATTGGGGTTTCGGAAGTCCGCCGACAGGTAGGCGGTCTTTGAGACGATGTGAAGTTCATCTTCGCCCTCCCGTGCCCAATTTTGCGCGAATTGGCCTCAGGCCAGCACTTTTGTCAGAAATGGATGTCATGGTCATAATCAACGCACTGGAATACCGCTATAGACGGAATTTCAGCTATTTGGGCTTCCACTTGTGCGGAGATGCGTAGTCAGTGTATTTCTGAGGCTCAGGGGCCGTAAGGTATGCTTCCCCGAAGGGTTAGGGGACGAAAATCCCTTTAAATTTTCTCTGTCCCAACTGGGATTGTCCTGATAAAGGGCCTACATTTAATATATGTGTGTAGCTTAAAGTAAACATGCATTGAAAATAAAGAAACAGTATCGTTCAGAAAAAAAACAATTTAAAGGGATTTTCGTCCCCCCAACCATTCGGGGAAGCGTACCTAACCGCCCCAGGTCTCCTAAAGTTAAGACATCACTCATTTGTCCGAAGCAAACCTAGGACTAAGCTTAAGGTTTCAATCATTGGCTTAAGCAAAAGCCATTGTGTAAGCACAAGCCTCAGCGTGAGCACAACCTTGAGCTTCAATGATCGCGCAGCTCTAGTGACCTGATCTAGCAGCAGAACTGAACGCCTCCCCTTGTGCGGACGGCTGGAGCTGTAATGGTTGAATAGTGCCCCCAAATGGCCATGTATGCATTTTCCCTTTGTCGAGTTCTGCATGAGGATGTGACAAGTCCGCATCGCTTATAGTATAAAATGGTTTCAGAGCTTGCAAGCCAAGCTACAGCAGGTTGATGTAGACCGGGAGAGAGAGCTTGTTGATCATGGCAAAGTTTTAGCCGAAATGCAGGCGAGATACGCCAAGGAGCATCAATCACTCGAGGCTACATCCAAAGAAGTATTCACAAATTTGCAAAAACTCCCAACGACGTGTCACTGTGATGTTTATTTTTGTTTCAGACAACGGCGCTCAACAAGAAAATCAGTCAGAAAGATGAATTGATCAATCAGCTCAAATCACGTGAGGCTCAGCTGATTTGCCAAGTTTCAACACTGAATAACGAGGTCAAAGAGCTCACAGAGAAGGCCTATCATGTTCCTTCTGTTCAGATTCTGAAAGACGAGTTGGCTAATTGAAGGTAGGATACGCGATCATTTTTCTTAATTTTCTCGCTTCCCTTGGCTTCATTTTTCACGGGATTTGTTATTTTGTCCGGAAAAAATGCAAGAAATCTAGATTGATCATGCTCGTGAGCTGGTTGACGCTGTGGTCAAGGCTAAGCACACGACACAGCTGGAAGAACAAGACCGTGCTTCAGCAAAAATAGCTGAATTAGAAGAGAAGACAATGAGTTTACTGGAAACGGTCGCGCGAAGCGAAGAAGCACGGAAACGAAGCCTATGATGCCTTCCTGCAGTCTGAGATGGAAAAAGCTACGCTCGTTGAGGTGAGGTTTCGAATTGTGTGTTTTTCTTGTGGCCATTTCTTTGCTACACATTTTGTCTCAAAGACCATTATTTCCGAGAGCTCATTTCTATCTAAAAAAAGAGCAGATTATTGGTTTTTTCCGTCCCCATGATTTGGGAACCATCAAGGTCGCAATGGTAAAGACTATGAACCCGAAAGTGCATCTTTTTGAATTATTGCTTTTATTTGCCTCGCAATTGCTTGTAATTCGTCCGAGCATTCTTCTTGTTGCGATGTTTTGTCTCCCACCCTTGTGGAATCTCAAATCCCGTGCACGTTGGTGAACCAATTGCTAACATCAATATTCTGTTGACCGTGAACTTCGCATCCGTTTGTTTTGGCTGATGGTGGCGTATTGAATGTATTTTTTGAGCGTTTATGGCGTTCAAATGTATAATAGTTCAATGGTCCGTTATTCCTCGCTCATAATAGATTATAGCTTATAGGATAACATCCGCACTTTGGTTTTCCAATATGGATTCCACATCGCCGTCTGATTCTTTCATGGAGAAAATGTTCTGCAGCCGCTCTTACACCAGCAATACCTTATTGCGTGTTTTTTAAGATGTAGCAGGCCTTCAGCAAGCCAGTTCTTGACACTATTCAGACATCGTAGCCTTTTTCTGTCGCCATTCGAAACTTATGCTCAAACAAATTTTACATGTCATTTCGCAAAGATTGTGGCGCTTTTCGTGCGAATATAAAAATCACACTAGTTCCCAACAAGATCTTGAAAACCATTTACCGAAGCAAGCGGTGAGAAATTCCGCCGTCAACTCTTATCACACCTGTGGTTCACACTATTTGTCTACTCTTTTGTAGAAAACGCTGACCTGATTTGATCCAATCCTTAAGTCTTCATCCCTTTTTCCCATCTTTTCCTTCGCCTGCTCCTAAGTTGAGCAAGAAAAGGACTGAGTTATGTACGCAGCAAACAAGAGATGCCACTCTATCTTTTCATGAGTGAAATACAGCGTTTTCGTGTTATAGAAACAGCTTACTGTCATGTAAAAAAGGTCCCTATTTTGTGCGGGACTATAAAAATTTCTCTTTTCAGTTAATAGGTATGCAAACAGTTGATAAACAATTGTTGGCCCATTTTGCTGCTCAGGACAAAGATAGTTTTCAGGTTGTGTCAGCTGCGCAGGCGACACAATGACTTTGACGATTACGAACCCACAGAGGATGATGCGGTGACTCGATTACAATCAATTATCGCAGAGATCCGCGAAACTAAAGCCTGGATTCGATATTTTTGGTGAGTTTTCCCGTTGTTGATCTTTATCAGGTAAATTGGCGCGTGATGGACTTTTTTTGCAGCTCTAATTGGACCAGATGAGGAGAAAATCAGACTGCAGCATGAGTATCGGAGCTTGAAAGAAGAGCACGAACAGTGTAAAAGTCGCTTAGAAGTGCTTACAGCCAGTAATGCAGTAAGTTATTTCCTCTTTCTCCTCCTTGTACCTCCATGAGGTTGTCTTTTCTGGGTTTGCTCTTTTTAGTGCTTAGCATTTGCTTTCTTCAACCTTTCTTTCACTTACGTTAATCCCCTTTATTTTTAGCAATTTGCTCTCAATTCTGATGGCTCAAGAGAGGAGAGCTTGCGAACTGTAGCAGAGCAGTTTCAGAATAAAATTCAAAAGTTGATTGACCTGCTTGGCATGCCAAGATAGGGCTCTTTTCACGAAAAGGTAGATATTGCCGTTTTCTGTTGTTGTTTTTTCTCAGTTTTCTTTTCAGTCGAACATGTTTCGATACATCTGAGGGGTAGGATTGATGATTATCGCTCCTTTTCCTCGACCACAATCCATAGCAGTGTTAACGACCTTTTATGAGGGCTTTCCTATTACCCTTTAACACTGTATACGTGCGGCCCGTAATGTGGGCTGTGGTCTGTACGACGCACAGGGTTTTGCAGACCATATTTTGGCAAGACCATACTAAAACTCTTACGAAGAAATTCTTTTTTCAATTCGATTGATGAGCTGTCTAAACCTTTTACTGAAGTTCTACGTAGTAAGCGAGCCTTAAATGTGCGCGGTCTTCAACGTATTAAAATATTCCTATGGACTTGCAATTTTTGAAAATTTGTTTTTTCTTAAAGTCTTCGTCATTGGTGCCTTTTTCTCTAGTTTTTAGGTTGTGGATTCCTCTTTTTATCCTGGACCTTTTGTTTTAATAAAAAGGATAAAGGATAAAGCATTTGCCGTTGATCAATCCCTTTTTGGGATGCGGCACGCATTCTACTTCCATTTGTACATTCGCAGTGGCGTTTGAATGCGATGTGGCCTATACAATGACTTGCGGGGGCCAGCCGATGTCAAGTCAGTGTTTTTTATCCTCCCAGACAAGTCTGGTACCAATTAACCGACCCCGGAGGGATGGAAGGCTTGGTTGGCCCGGGCGACTCACGACCCAGGATTTGATCCCCGGACCGCTCGCGTGGTGAGCGTGCCACTTGCCACTACACCACTTCCGCCCTATATCATACATAGGTTGCGGTAATAGTTAGCAACAAACTGGTTGTTAGAGGATAGTTGCCTGAAGTTCAAATCCCCATAGATTCAGACCGTCCCCTCGTTACAAACATGTCCTATGACTAAGCGAGTGATTTGTTATAAGAGCAGGAAGTTTATATTAATGCGTGTGATACTGGGCTCCAATTGCCTTTGCTGCAGCGTGCCAATCCTCGTTTTTGCCTTCTCTTGTGGTGTCAGATTTCAACATTATTGTTTTAACGATACTCGTTTCAGTCAACACGAGATCTGCATGCACGAATTTCGGAGCTGGAGCAACGAGAAGGGCGGCTTGTGATAGAAATGAGAAGGGAAATGAACAACAGAAGTTAGTGAATTTGAATCGTATAGTTAGTACAATTTGCATTTAGCAGTTTTACCCTTTACATATGCGTTTCTCTTACCCAGATGAGTCGTAAATGCAGACTTCGCAATACTTCTTCTTCAAATAGTAAATAATAGCTTCAAATAGTCAAGAGCACCAAGAAGCGTGTGGGATTTGACTTTTTCGTGATAGTAGCCACATGAGCGGCTTGTTCTGCAGGATTCATGGTTGGCGACGGTTGTGAAAAAGTCGATATCACCTATACTTTTCGATGCACTTGCGTGTCTGATGTAACGTCTATGTCACTAAGTTTGCGTTTACGGCTTGGGAGACAAAGTTATATGTCACCATGTTACAGTTTCTGAAATGGAAGCCGAGATGCAAAAGCAACGTAGTAGAACGATCGACGTTGTAGCAGAGAAGGAACGAGAACTTGAAGCGGCTAGGTGATTAGTTCTTATAAGTTTTGATTTTGTTCTCAGTTCTTCTCTTACCTCGACAGGTTGCTCGGTTTTCTAGCAACTTAAGATTTCTTATTATTTCTTAGCATTCACGTTTAGATCCGTTCTTGTATCGTTTCGCAGTGAACAGATGAATGCTCCGGCAGATCCGTCTCAAGCAGGCAAGATAACGCTCTCTAAGAGGAGATCTAGTGAGCACAAGCGCTATGTAGATAGGAGGTACAGTACAGGTGAGTAATCAAATTGTCGACTAACATTTCTAAGATGTTTTGCAATTGTATGTCTTTAGGTTCGAGGAAAAGTATGGATGCAGTTTCGGTGCACAGCACAGATGCAGGTATAATTAGTTGTTTGGAAAAACATTGGAAGTTACGTGCTCCTTTATGGAAAGCGGAGGAACTAGTCATCGATTTTTTTCAGATGGAAGCGGTGTTCCTATTCCATAACAAGATCTAGAAACAAATATCTACGAAACCAGACTACTGAAGAAAGATCCGTGAGATCCCAAAAGAGGTCCTTTTTTCTTCGTTGAATCGAGCCATTCTCTTCTATCTTTCTTATTCGAGAGTACGAACATTATTCAAAACCCCAAGCAAACTGCTCTGAGCGCGCATAGCCCCCTGTTTTAGGATCAAAACCCGCTATCGTGGCTGTCATCAGTCAAAACAGTTCTGCCCTGAAAATACTGAAAATTCTATAGTCGCACTCAGAGGTCCAATTCTCCCCGGTCTCTGATCCATATCCGCTCCCACCCACCATGCTGCTCTATGATTGAGGGTGAATCCGATCCTATGATTCCATTTAGTCCGACTAACAGCTCTCCCTTTAAATCATCTGTGTCAATTATAATACATCGCCTTACGTACTGACCCCAGTAACTGTTCAGTTACCTATTCGGGCCTGTCACTTTGCCTAGAATTGCGTGAAAAAATGCGCAACGCACGTACTCTGCACAAGAAGCGACCCACAAGAGTCCCACGAAATGTTCCTTATCCCGTTGATTTCGCATGGGTTACTTTCACTATCTGACCACTCCTCAAACCACTCTCCTCCTCCCTCTCTGTGACAACGGATTGAGTTAGAGGAGTGGTCCAAGCATTTAACCGGGAGAACAGACGCGGGTATTCTTCGCAAGTTTGTCACTAATACTCCAAGTGACCTAAAGAATGCATACCACCAGAGCAAGACATGGCTTATGCTGGTGTCATGCTTTCGAAAGTAAGCGCATCGTAGGCACCGTATGAACTGAGTCGCCACTTTTCCAGCTATCATGGCCCTTAGTAGCCTGGAAGTCAGCGATCGTCAAGCGTCAAAGAGAAGGACTTTCGTCCCTCGATCACTGTATTGCAAAAGTCTGTCTTGACCTTCAAGAGCAGAAGAGTTCCATTCACTTGCCAGATTATAAATTCATGGTCTAGGGAACTTGGTCATTGGTCCTTGCATGTACAAATAGACTTCACCACACAGTTCACGTTACTCCCCGACGGCAAAGTATGCTTGCTTTTATTCCTCAACCCCCCCCCCCCACAGCCCGTGCCTCGTCTCATCTGATTATTGCCTCTTCAGTCACCCTCGGCCCCTCGGTGCTTTTCTACGAATAGAAAACAATTACCCTAGACAAAGCACAAATCTTAATTCGCAAGCGAATCTCATTGATTGGATTAAGATACAAGTTACACAGACTTTGACCGATGGTAACAGGATGTACCCTACTGTCTTGATCTAGAATCGGTTTGTATTATTCAACACACTAATATTTCGGATGCTGACCTATATGTATACCTCAGATATCTTCCTGCTTTTAGTTGTGGCATTGTTTTTGCACTGTGTGAAGAGATTTTTTTAAAGAAGTGTCTCACATCAACTTGACTACCGGCTCCGAGAGGTTGAACAAGCAGCTTTAGTAAAGGAACTTGAACATCATAAAAGGACTGAAGCCATGAGTGAAGAAATCACAAAGTTACAAAGTGAGTTACTTCTCTGGTTTTTCAAGCTCCAAGATATAACTTCAGCTCCGTTTAGATAAGCTTGCTCTGCTTACTACTGGTGGTGAGATGGAATACTTGCGGAATATTTTCGTTCAGTTCATTCAGTCGAATAGTTCATCTGCTAAGAAGAATATTTTGAAAGCCATGGGAATGGCGTTGAAACTTAGTGCCAATGAAATGAAGGCTATCGACAGCAAATAGGTGATATTTGCTCTAAACTTGTATTTGTACTCGTATTTGAGCATATTATGTGATGAAACTTACGGTTACTTTTGTGATTCTAAGAATTGTGGTGAATGTAAGTCTTGTTCTCTGCATTTCGAAGAGATGAATAATTTCAGCAACGTCGTGTTTTGTTTTGTGAGATCATTACACGAAAGGTTTCTGACTACCTCAGTTTACATAGTATTCAAAGTAACTGGATCATTTCTCGGTTTGCATTTTTGTCGAGGGGATGTTTCAGTAGTGTTCGTCACGCGTAAGCGAACGATCACTCTTATTTACGTTCACGATTGAGGCACAAAATGACAGAGACGTGGTATCAGAGCTTGCGTCATCCGACTATATCACGATAGATTATATCAGTGACAACTTTCTTCGTCTTTTCTGAGCAAGGTAAAACTCATAATTTCTCCTTGATTTGACACTAGGGGCTATTCGAAAATGCACATTTAACACATCGACGACACCGTGACGCGCTTGCGCGTCCCACTTTGCAAACCGCGTGGGACATTGAGACGCGCAACTGCGTCGCAGTATCAGAAGTACCCTGTACTATACTTGTTCCTTTGATCAATCCCGTGCGGGCTATTTGTGCCTTATGTCAACCGATAAGTTGGTATCGGACATTTTGGAGGCCAAATTCTAACTTGAATGACGCCGTGACGAGGTTGCGCGTGCATCACGCGTGGCACATTGCGTGACGAGGTTGCGCGTGCATCACGCGTGGCACATTGCGACACGGTTGCGCGTCACAGCCACTTCGGCCTCTTTTGTCGCGTGCACAACTTCTCCCTTGGTGGTTTACATTTATTCTACGGATCACATCACGGCACATCTGTAGATGACATGGTTCACCATATGTTCAAATATATACAGTTGGAGAGAGGTTTTCCGAGCGTTACAGAATTGGCAGCTTAATTTTTCCTCGTTTTCTTTTTGTTCTAATGAACACCTAAATCAAAGGTAGAAATGAACACGAACTCGTGCGGATAGCAAAATAAGGTGGCGGCGCTCCAAAGTAGCTCCTGTCCACGCAGCCAAGGAGCCGAGACGCGCACTGTCGTCAAGTGTTAGTGAGCGGCACAAAAAGGATGTTTTTTGGAATATCGTGCGAGGTGGAGCGACCCAAGCATGTACAACGTGGACCCGCCCGCGTCAGTGTTTGCGGCATGTAGACATGAAGGTCGAGCCGCTCAATTTTCTCCCTTTCCTTTCTCGAGCTCCTTTGCCTAAGCAATGATGCAGCGCTTGCATTGGGGCTGTAGGTGGGCAAAATATAGGCGGCAAGCGAAGACGAGAGCAGAAAATTCTATTTTTCAACGGCCCGCATAATTTGCCTCACACATTGGCGTGCGCGGGACCGTGCCGTGTACTAGATGATGTATGGGCGGCGTCAAATGTGCGATAACGTTGCATATAGTCCTTGTAAGGCCGACGTCATACTTTGCGATTCGATTAGCGATTCGCTCGATTCGCTAGCGATTTGCCAGCGAATCGCTAATCGAATCGCAAAGTATGACGTCGGCCTAAGGCTCTCTACGCTCGTTAACCCGTCTGCATATATCATATATGCATATAAAATGAAATTAATTTTCTATGATGGAGAGTTCACAGTGGATCTCCTGCAAGTAGTGATTAACAGTTATTTCAGAAGTGAACCGATATTCAGTCTGCAATTTAGTGATCTGTTCACGTGGTGAAGTTCCGTAGGCACCCCAGGAGTTATGGGGGGGGTCACGTCGGGTCGGCGCCTAGTTTCTGGTTTGCGCCTATACAACTTCCCGCCGCGTAATTGGCTTATCTCTATCATCCCTGCCTTTCGGCCTCTCCTCTCCTTGGCTAGGCTCGGTCTGTCTCACCCTCGCGGTTCCTGATCCGTTTAGAAGGGCCACATGCCCCGTTCATAATGGAGGTTGACTCGAGCTGAGACCTCGGATCGAATGCAAAACGCTATCATCGAGACGAGAAGACCGCCAGACCGAGCAGACATAGACGAACAGGCACCCCAGACTTCCTTCCGCCCCAAGTCTCAATGTGTCCAGATCGTATCCCCTGTCTTGGCCCCTCTCACTGAAAAGGTGACAGGGTTGCATACAATAAGAATTTGATGAATCGATGGTTTTAGATGCGATGCGGTTACGAAATGAGTTCCATATCATTCCACGTTCGGCGATGTCCACAGAGGATGAATCGCCGTATATCATTGCACCGGAACAAGTGGTTCTTCTCGTCCAACATGGTATATTGCTTTCTCACCGATTAACCGTCGCAGAATACCGAACAAGATAAGAAGGCTGAATTAGCAGGACAAAAGCCAGTTCACAAAGAATAATTCCTGCACATTCCCGTAAAATTTGAAAGAATCCTAGTTACGGCCTCTATATCGTAAGACTAAAAGAGCGTTGCCCGTGCAGAGCCCATGCATCCACAAGTGACGCGGCTTGGGAAAACAGTGCTTTCTTTTTGCTTGTCCGTCGCCAACCTGTGGTTTGTGTCTGCACTCGACTCAATCTCGTCTCCCGATTATAAAGTATTTGTCGATAGTCTGTCAATCTAGCCCCTAAATTGCAACAATGAAGCTTTCTAAGGAAGTGCTAGTCTCAAATTACGCCAAGTGAGCGTTTATGAGTCCAGCTGACCGGTGAAGACTCATGATTGTGGCGCACAGGTGTGCCTGCACGCAGTAGGTCGTGAGTTTGCTCCCCGTCTGTACGGAATTTTTTGCACGTTGTGCTCCACATGCAACGGAGGATTTTGTTTCACGGATGTTGAACAGACGGCGCCAAAGCGGGGTCATCATCGTGATCGGGATATCTCCTGTACGTAAGGTGATTAATTTATTGGAAACAAAGTTGTGGCTTCACACTAGTGCTGGGTGGCCTTTGCGCCAAGAACAAGACTCATGTTCGTGATCAGGGCACCCACTTACCTCTATGGATGAACTCCTAGCGCGAGATCTCGCCCTAAATTTCGCTAAAGAGAGCATGTATGGATACCGTTCACGAATGCCGTCTTACAATTAGGACCTGACACATTCCTGTTGCCTCAACGGAAGAGTAGAAGCTCCTACCCAGAGAAAACACTGATAGGTACTCAACATGATGGATCAGGGCACACAGACTATGGCAAGGTCACAAGTTCGCTTCTCTGTCGTGAAGCTGTGGATAGTTTCTCATCCATCCCACGGAATACGGCCTGTCGATAGCGCTGCGTGCTTCAAGGACCTCGAAATTATA